GGCATTCCCTATCCGGGGGGAGAGACCTGCAGAGCAAAGGAAACACCACTTCAGGTTTGAAAAGCACCAAAACCCACGACAGGAAACCCAGATTGTGCCAATGCAGATGGGAGTGGAAACAGCTCTCGAGCTGCTCGCTCTGCCTTTCCCCTTACTCCAGATACAGCTGCATTACTAGGGGTCAATGGGGCTGAGGTAAGCGCATCTTCCCCCATGTTTTTCCGGGGCCAGGGAGGGTGATGATGTTCCACGCGATGCTGTGGGATGCAGCTCTGCATCCTGGGGGTGGATGGTACCAAGGGCTTGTGTTGGGGATGCTGCAGGCAGCACAGGGTGGTGGCTGTGATGAGTTGTAACGGCCTCTGCATGCACCGAGGCAAAGCCACATCCTGCAGTGGGGCAGGGATTTGGGGGGAGGGGGTAAAGGGGAGGGACTTAGGGGAGGAAACATCAACCCCCTTCCCTCGTGCCTCAGTTTCCCTTCTCTGCACCACACCAGGGCTGCAGCACCCACATCTATGGGGCGGGGGCGGGGGGGGGGGGGGGGGAAAGGTTTTGTGGGTCTGGGTGCCCCTGGCCCCCCCCCGGCAGGATATGGTGGGAGGTGCTTTGCTTGTCACTCTCTGAGTCACCCCATGTCCCCACACCTGCAGCTTCCGCACCCCCCAGCCCCATCCTCACCCTCCTTCAGCAGGGATGGGAGCAATGGTAGGGACAGGGGGTAAAGCACCCAAGCTATGGGTGCACCCATCCTCATGGACCCCCCCATGGCCTTTATGGGTATGGGGGGGGGGGGGCTGTGTGACACAATGGTCTCACCCCATGGCCTCATTTGGGTAACAGGGGTGTGATGCTTCACCCCCCCCCCCCATCAGTGGGGGTGCCCTAAGGGTCAGGGAGGGGGGAATAAGCCCCTTCCCAGGGATATGGGGCGGCCGTGAGAACGGCAACGGGAGCAGGGGGAGGAAGCACCGGGAAGGGGGGGGGGGGCGGCTGCTCCCGGCTCCCCCAGATGTGCCCCTGAGATAGGGCGGCAGGAAACAGCTGCAGGGATTCCTGGTGCTGGGAATGTCGGTGCCGCCTCCCCCCGCCCGTGGCCGGGTACCAGCCGGGGGGGATGCTCTGGGTATCCCGGCTCCGCAGGGTGGGATGCTCCGTCCCTGCCTCGGGCACAGGGGCCGAGGGGGTGTCCCCAGGGATAATCCCCTGCACAAACAGCTCCACATTCCCAAGGGATGGATCCCGTCTCCTAGTGACAGGGCGTGGGGCGGGGAGGACACGGGGACACGACTCACTGCCCCTTTATGGGTGCTCGTTCCCAGCCATGATGCTCCTCGGTTTTCCATAGTTTTCCCCACATTCCATGCACATCCAGCCCCGTTCATGGCCTGGCTCTTGTGCTATGTCCCTGTGGTGGGTGAAGGGGTAAACTGAGGCACGGGGCTGTCCTCATCGTGTTGCTCATACAGATCCACGACAGCTCCCATTTATCCCAAAGCACCACCCAGTGTGGGATATCCCACAGCTACCGAAGCTCCCCGCATGGATACGGCCCTGGGGACGAGATGGGAAGGAGATTCCCAAGCTGGTTTAGGAAGCCAGAATCCCTTTTTCCCCTTGAGCATCCGTCCAGCACCAAAACTCCCTTGGATCCCCGCCATCCCGTCCCATCCCATGCCAGTGCCCGGGCTGCTTGCTTCGCTTGAGGCATGTCCGAGGCTCAATGACTTAAAGCAGTCTCTGCATAGATCCGAGCCAGCCGGGTCTCCCGGCTTCCAAAGGATCCCGAGGGGCTCCGGAGATCCCGGGGGAGGAGGGACCTCTATCCCGGCAGCGGATCCAGATGATCCCTTGAGGCAGAGCCTTTCCCTTTGTCTCTGTTCCTCCCTTCTCCCGTCCAACACTTCCAAGCCTCCGGCTTCCCCCCTCCGCCCCTAAACGCTCTGTGTGTCGTCTTCGTCCCCCCCCCGGGACCCCCACGCTCGCCCTCCCTGCCCCATAGCAGCCGAGGCTGACTCCGGCTCTTCCCACCCCGTCCTTCACATCCTGCCACCTGAACCGGCTTATTGAAGGGAACAAACCCATCAATCAAACCAAACCCAAGCCCTAAGGGAAGTGGGGGGGAGCTGCTTTTGCCCCCCCCCCCCCGCCCCCTTCCCGATCCATGGGGATCTCCACAGGTGGGCGAATTAACGGGAAAGGGGAAAAGGTTGTGGGGAGCGATAAGGGGGGACGGGACGGGACACGGTCACCCCTCCATGGGAGGTTATGGGGAGGCTTTGCAGCGGTTTGGGGGTGCCCCCAGCTCCCGCTCCTCCCCTGCCCCGTTTGAGCTCCAATACAAAACCCTGCTCGCTGTGAAACCACCGCGCTCCGCGGCATTCCCGCTCCCTTCCCCCGCCTCCTTTCCCCTCCTCCGTGCCAAGAAACCCGCTCCCCCCATTCCCAGGACACCCCAAACCTGGCGCCAGCTGCGGGGCTGCACCCCAAAAGCGTGGGGATGGGACCCACAACTGGGGGCCACGCGGGGATAACCCCGTCCCGCCGCACACCGGGGGGACCCCGCGATCGCACCGGACACCCCCGGCTCTGGGAGTGGGGTCTATGGGGCGGCGTGGCCGTGTATGGGGGGTGTGGGGTGTGTGATGATGATGATGAAGAGGAGGAGGAGGGGGGGAGGAAGGTTGCCTTGGCCACGCAGCGCTGTGTGAATGCATGACGTGCGCAGCGCTGGCGCCAGGCTGTCTGGGGCCGGGAGTTAGATCAACACAGCTGGAGGGCCCGGGCCACAGCTGGGCAAAGGCAGCGGGGCCCCCCCCCGTGTCCCCCCCCCATAGGGGCCTGTGGGAACCGCCGCCAACAAAACCCCCCGGCAAACAAAAGCACCCCCCAACAGACCCCCCCTCCCCCCCGCTTCCCATGGGAAATGGGGGGCTGGGGAAGTGGGGGGGACATGGGAATGAGGGAGGCGGCTGGAGGCTGGGGCTGGGGGGGGGGGGGGGGGCTTTAACCCAGTTTTTTTCGGGGGGGGAAATTGTTTTTAAATGTTTTGTGGGTATTTTTTATTTAACCTAAAATATTATTTTTTTTTTTTTAAATTTTTCCCCTTTTTCCCCTAATTTGAATCCATTTCAAGCCATTAACTTTCCACTCCTGGATCGTTACTGGATGCTGCTTGGGGCAGGCAGGGGGGGGAAGCAGGGGGGGGATTGTAAAGGAGGGAACCGACCACCCCCACCCCCTCCCAGCGCCCCCAAACTGGGATGTGGGGCAGATGTGGGGTAAATCACTGCAGTAGGAAGGTGCGATTTGGTGTCATTCCCCCCCCCCGCACCATTACCGGGACCCCCCGTGTGGAACATCCCCCCCTAATCAACCCCCTTGGATTCCTCAGCTGGGTGTCGCCCCCCCGGGACCCCTCCATGTGCCCCATTGGGGACTGACCACCCCATATTGCTCCAGTGTGGGGCAGCGTTCAGAGGGGGGGTGCTCGCCTTCATCCCCCCTCCATCCCTTGGACTAAAAGCACCCCCTGGCCTATAAATCTCTCCCCCCCCCCCCCTTTTCCAACCACCCAGCCCCAAACCCCTGCAGGCCTCTCGCAGTCGCTGACCTAAATCTGGTTTCTCCATCGTAACCTCCGTTTTACCGCAATTAATTTTTTTCTGCTGGTCACAAGATAATTCCTGACGCCAGGAAGTCTGGAGGTCAGATGAGAAGCGGATTGAGGAACAGGGCGGCACTAATTTCCCTACAATATAGCCCGGTCAAACCCCTTCGTTTAGGGAAAGGAAAGGAGGGAGGGAACCCCCCACGGTCCTGCCTAAAACCAGGGGGGGGATTCACTGCCATGGGGGGTTTGGGGGGACACACACTGGGATTGGGGTATCCAAAGTGTTTAGGGGGGGAATGCCCCCATGGGAGAGCGCTGGTTGTGTGTGCGAGACCCGCGTGGTCGCGGGTGTGTGTCCCCCTCATAAGGGTCATTTTGGAAGGGGGGGCGGTGTCTGTCGCTTCATTGCGATGCAAAGGTGGGGTTTAATGAGTCATTTGCATATAAGGGGCGTGGTTTGGGGTCATTTACGTAGAGGGGGGCGGGACCATATAGGCCGCCTATATAAGAGGCGGCGTGGGGCTGCCCCCTCCCCAGTGCGGGTCCCAAGGCTCCGTTATCCCAAGCTTAAGCGGTCCGGTGTTCCGAGGTGCCGGTGCCTGGAGGTCCCAGCAGAGCCCCTGCAGCTTCAGCATCCCCGGGCCCCTTCTGCATCCTCCTGCTTCTCCTGCACCATGAAAGCCATCAGCCCGGTGCGGTCCGTCCGGAGCTGCTACGAAGCCGTTTGCTGCCTCTCGGAGCAGAGCTTGGCGATCGCCCGGGGGAACAGCAACAAGAGCCCGGCCCTGGAGGAGCCCATGAGCTTGCTGTACGATATGAACGATTGTTATTCCAAGCTGCGGGAGCTGGTGCCGGGAATCCCGCAGGGCAGCAAGGTGAGCCAGGTGGAGATCCTCCAGCATGTCATCGACTACATCTTCGATCTCCAGATCGTGCTGGAGGAGGGAGGCAAGAGCCGAGACCCCTCTTCTGAGGCCACCCTGCTCTCCTTGAAGGTAAGGGATGCTTCGGGGTGGGATGGGGGGAAGGAAAGGGAATGGATGCGGTGGGAATAGGGGGACGCGTGGGTACCGCATTCTGAGCCTTCCCCCCGCTCTCCGCAGGCGGCCGAGCTCGCTTCCGAACTCTGCTCCAAAGACGAGAGGAGTTTGTGTCACTAACGGCTCCTCCGGCAGGTGAGTGACACACCCCCCCCGCTGCATCCCAAAACCCCCTTCAGCATCCCTATGGATTCACCCCAATAGCGATGCAACGCGCCCCGACCCCCCCAAACCCCACTTCCCACAGCACGGATTCAAGGTTTAAATTGTCTGTTCTGTTCCCCCCCTCCTTTTTCTTCTCTTCCCCCCTCCGTGCCAACCAGCAAACAGCAGCGAGCGGCGGTTCCTGGTTCCTTATCAGCCGGAGGTAAATAGCAGCTTCCTCCGTGGCGCCGGGCTGTCTGCGCCCTACCGGCCCCGGGGGGAGCGCCTGGGCCCGGCCCCCCCCTTCTCTCCACCACCAGCGCAGCATCCCGGCTTCAAGCAGGACCCTCGGACCCCAAAGCGAGCTACTTTAATAGACTGATGAAGAAGCGGTTGTCTGTATATTTTTGGATGATAGCAACGAGTCCTTTATATAAGAAGGTGTTTAATGGGATGGGGAGGGGGAGGAATTCGGGGGGGGGTTCGGGGGGGGCACATCCTTGAGTATGAACCCAACTCTGGGGCCGTGGCCTCGTGTATTGTGGAGCTCTATACTAGAGTATAACGTTTTTGTACCTTTTGTGCAGGAAGGTGAGTTTCTGCGGACGTGCCTTGTATTTGCCTTTATCGGACTTTTTATAAAAGTTACCGTTTTTGACAGAATAAAAGCGTTTTGGATGCGTGTTTCTGGGGTTGGGGGGTGGGACACCCCCCCCCCCCCCAACCTTCCCTAACTTCTAGGGTTACAATAGGAATCTTCTTCATTATGGAATAGCTTTGAAATGTCAGCTCAGGTATGGGAGGAATTAACCCTAGGCTGCTCTCTCCCGGCCCGAGCTGGCTGCCAGCTATTTTGGGTGCTGCTTCTGCTTATCTGATAGGGAAGAAGTGAAGCTGCTGAGCCCCGGGGACCATCTGGAGGTGTAGCTGCAAACAGGGGAGGGGGGAAGATGCTTTTCCAAGGGTTTCCCGTTCTTCCCCGTTTAAAAAGGGGCTGGATTTGCGCTGAGAGTTTCTGGGCTCTCCTCAGGGTTGCTTTAAGCCTTGCCATGACCTGGGTGGCATCCAGAGCCCTTCCCCTCGGTGTCTAAGGGGGAGCAGCACCCCAGGGAAGGGGTGTTGGGAACAGGAATGCCTTTCCCTCCCCTCGGATTCCTGCTGTGTTTTCCCTTTGGCTCTGGAGCAGATGTGACCAGTGGCCGGCTGGGCTGCAGCACAGCTGGGCCGGATCCTGCTCCGCAGGGAAGGTGCTGGGGTTAAGTTACATTCCCCACACCTGTAGCACCATCTTTATCCTTTCTGCTGAGCTCTGGGTTTGCTGCTCTGGGTCCTCACCCCATGGCATCGGGATGTGCTGGGGCTGCAGGATGGGAGGAGGAAGGAGGCAGGAGGGGTGCTGGGGCAGGGGGTGTTGCAACCCTTCCTCCATGGGCACTGGCTTCAGCCTCCATCCCCATGACAGCCAGCAGCCGCCAAGCACCCTTTGTGGGCATTCCCACGGGGAAAAGCAGTGTGGGGGGCATCTGGAAAGCACCAATGGGACCTTAACCCCCTGAGAACATCCCTGCCTCCCCAAGGGCAGGTTATCCCTTGGCACCCATGGATGGGGTGGGATGGGCTATTCCTGGTGCAGCAGGAGCTGGAAACCACCACTTCTGGGAACTGAGCTCTGTTGCCTAATGGCTGACCCCAAGGTTTTGCCATCTCCATCGGCTTTTAGCTTGCGAGGAGAAGCCGGGGATGGGGGTGAGGGTCTCCCATGCTGACCCCTGTGTCATGGTCCTCAGTGCTGATGGACCAAAGGGATTTAATTGGGATGGGTGGGGAAAGCCCCCCCCGGAATGAGACAGGGGATGGGGTTGGGTCTCAGTAGCTGTAAAATGGGGCTCCCTGCAGTGTGAGCACCCCGAGTCTGGATGGGTCCCCTGATGAGCCCCGTTTGAGGCTGGGGTTACTGGGCGAAGTCGGACAAGCCCCTGGGGCTGCAGAGATGGGGGTCCTGTCCCCATGGGGGTTGTCTCCCAGGAAGCCTCCCGGGTGGATGGATCCCTGCGCCTTGCCGGCAACAGCCGCCAGACCATTCCCAAGCCCTGGGGAGGGCGCAAACCTTGCTTGGCCCCCTGGATAGCTGTGGGGTGGGAGGGGTGCTCAAGCCTTGCCTGGACCCCCAGCCTGCTCCCTGTGACAACACTGATGCTTTCCTTGGGAACCCTTAATTTAAACGAAATAGATCCCAAAAGACATAAAAAGGGGAAAAAAAACCAAACCCCACAACTAAAAGGGGGTGCTGCTGCCCTGCCGGGGCGGGGGGGTTCACTTCGTGGGGCAGATGTAGTGCAAGAAACACCCCCACTTCCCCCCCTATCCGAGCGGTGCTCATCCCAGCTCCATCGCACGGGTGCCAAAGGGAGGATGAGGAGCGCAGTAACTGACCCGGGGGGGGGTGAAGGCCGGTCGTGCCCCAGCCGCGGTGCCGGTGGCCGGGCCGGGCCGGCTTCAATCGCCTCTTGGCAAGAGGCTGAGTCTGATGCAATCGGCCGCGGTTCCCCACCTGTATTTGCCATTGTGTGCCCGGAGCTGTTTGCAGGTGTTTGCTGGCGCCGCGCTGTCTGAGCCGCACTTCCCTCCTCCTCCTCCTCCTCCTCCTGCTCCTGCTCCTGCTCCTGCTCCCGCTGCCTGCCCCGGCCAAGCCCGGCCCCCCCCGATCCCAGCTCCCGGCTCCCCGCCAGCCGCGGCGGATGCGGCGCTCGCACACGCGTGGGACCGGGCGCGCTTGTGTGTGCGGGGTGCGCGGCCACGCGTGACCGTGCTCCTACACGCGTGTTTAGCGTGTGCGTGCATGCTCTGGCAGGCACATGTGCACCCGCAACAAGGCGGCAGCGGCACGTGTGCTCCTGCAGAGCATGGCAACATGCGCATGGGCTGCAGCACATGTGTGCCTTGCAGCAGGAGCACATGCACATAGACATGCATGCATGTGCATGTACACGCACATGCATCCACACGCGCCTGCATGCACACACATGCACGCCCCAGCCCAGCCAACATGGACATGCATGCATGTGCATGCACACATACGTTTATGCACACACACACATGCTTATACACACGTGCACACCCCAACCCAGCCAACAGGGACACGCATCCACATGTATGCACACACATGTGTACACATGCACACACGTACACATGCTTAAACACACACATGTACACCCCAACCCAGCCAACAGGGACACGATTCCACATGTATGCACACACACGTGTACACATGCACACACACATACACACGCTTAAACACATGTGTACACCCCGACCCAGCCAACAGGGACATGCATGCACACACATGTGTACACATGCACACACACGTACACATGCTTACACACACATGCACACTCTGACCCAGCCAACAGGGACATGCATCCCCATGCATGCACACACACGTACACATGCTTACACACATGTGCACACTCTGACCCAGCCAACAGGGACACGCATCCACACGCACACACACGTGTACACATGCACACACACGTACACATGGTTACACACACATGCACACCCCGACCCAGCCAACAGGGGCACACATCCACGTGCATGCACACACAGGTGTACACATGCACACACACATACACATGCACACACACATGTACACATGCTTACACACACATGCACACCCCAACCCAGCCAACAGGGACACGCATCCACATGCATGCACACACGCGTGTACACATGTACACACACGTACACATGCTTACACACACATGCACACCCCGACCCAGCCAACAGGGGCACACATCCACGTGCATGCACACACACGTGTACACATGGACGCACATGGACGCACATGCACACACCAATCCAGCCAACACGAACACGCATCCGCATCCACACTCCGCTCCCCCGTCCTTGTGTCCCCCCATCCCTCTGTCCCTCCTCCATCTCCCTGCCCCCCCCCGTGCCCCTCCATCCCCGCACCCCTGCATCCCCCTCCCCTCCATCCCCCCCATGGACCGCCCTGCGCCGGGCCCGCAGTGCCTGGGCCGGGGCGGGGGGGCGGAGGGGAGCAGGACCCGCAGCCGCGGCTCGCTGCTGCCGCCTGCAGGGCAGAGGAGGAAGAGCCCGGCTCAGGCCGAGCCTCCTCGACGCCGCAAGGCTGCTTCCAGCGCCGCCTAAAATCCCACCTCAGTCTCCCCTCGGGCAGGTTAAAGCCATTCCCCTTGGCCTGTCCCTACAGACCCTTGCCCAAAGCCCCTCTCCAGGTTTCTTGTAGGGGATGGTCCTTTCCCAGCACACTGGTCCATCCCAGCTCAGTGCAGGCTTGGGGATGCTGGAGGAGGGTTTTGAGCACCCAGCACCGATGTTGAGGAGCTTGGCCAGGCCCTGCTCATGCTGTGTACCCCAGTGCTGGGAGTCCGGGGACGCTGAGCATCCTTTGCAGTGTGGGGAAGGCGCCAGCATCCCCTTCTCTGTCTCCATGAAGATCTTGGTGCCAAAACGCATCAATGGGTGAAGTGGAGGAGACTGGAAGTGAAGGTTTTCCAGCAGTTTGAAGCTGGTCATAGCAGAGATCTGCACTTTGAAGGCCAGGATTTCCATCTGCAGCAGGGCTGGACTCTGGGTTTGGCTTCTTTGATGGCAAGGATTGGTCCTTACGTGCAAGCAGTGGATGAGGGGACGCAGCCAACATGGCTGTTAATCCTTTGAGAGAGAGAGAGAGGAGACTGAGATGAGCTCTTAGGCAGAAGCTCTTCCCTGTGAGGGTGCTGAGGCGCTGGCACAGGGTGCCCAGAGAAGCTGTGGCTGCCCCATCCCTGGCAGTGCTCAAGGCCAGGTTGGACACAGGGGCTTGGAGCAAGCTGCTCCAGTGGAAGGGGTCCCTGCCCGTGGCAGGGGTTGGAGCTGGAGGAGCTTTAAGGTCCCTTCCAACCCAAAGCATTGGCACTGATTTAAGCACCCTGCTGGGTACGGCCTTGTCTTTGTCCGCTGCAATGGAGGCAGCAACAGCCTTCTCCCTGTAGGGGGAAGGATGAAGGTCTGGGTGCGTTGGGTTGCCAAGTCCATGTGCTCCTGGCACAGGGATGCGGAGTCCAGCCGCGCGCTGGCTTCACTGCTGCCAGGCTCTTTGTTCCTCCTCAGAGCCCTTGCACGGTGGGAAGCCTGGGTCAGAGGCTCCTGGTGTCCTCCCCCAAGCTGGGGGGGAACGTGGGGGTCTGGTGCCCATCCTCATCCACAACAGAGGCCACGGTGTCCGTCTGTGTTTGCACGGAAGTCCATCTCTGCACCCCAACATCCCCAATCCCAGACCTGGACACGAAGCTGCCTTCTCCAGAGAGGAGAACATTGAAGGGGAAAGAACGGATGGAGGGCAGCCAGGTGATGGGGAGGAATGAGGGACTCCTCAGCAGGAATCAACTGCGGCTCATCCATCAGGGGCTCTGGTGGCCTTCTATTGGTCCCAGTAAGTCTTGGAATTGCCCTCTCCCAGGGATTCACCATTGCCTTGGGTCTTTCTGCCACTGCTGCACCCCAAAACACTCTGTGGACTCAACTGGGGGCCCTTCGCCCCCTTTTCCTCCCTCCCCTTTGCCACTAAGATGCACTCCAAGGGCACGGTGGCTGCGGTGGGCTGGTGGGTTGGAGTCCCCCCTCTGAGGTCCCTGCACCCCCAAACAGGGGGATTGCTGTCAGACGGCTTCACGCTGGCGCACCCCGAAATCGTTCACCTCCTAGATAGATGCATCCCCCCCTGCCTCATTGGGAATGGGGTGGGGGAGATGGGAATGTGTGTGTGGGAGCCCCCTTAGCTTGGGGTGGGGGCTTTAATAGGTAATTAATAATAAATGAATCCCAGTCCCGATCCCAAACCCAGTGACCCCCATTCCAGGCGCCCCCCCCTAGGAGCAGGTGGTCCCCAATAAGCCACGCCCCCCTATTTTGCATACAGCCCCCCCCCTTCCCCCGAAGCGCGGCCCCTTTAAGGCCCCTCCCGGCGCCGCTGCCTACGGCGGGGAAGGGGGGGGAGAGGGAGGCGTGGCGTCACTGCCGCCAGCCAATCAGCGCGCGGCGTTTTCCGCGGGAAATCCGAATTTCGCGGGACGCCGTTTGGCGCTTAAAAAAAAACCAGCCCGAAAAACCGGAAAAAATAGAAAAAAATAAAAAAACCGCCCCCAAACCGGAGCGATCGGAGGGAAGGGGGGGGGGGGGGGCAGCGCCCGAGGCGGGGCCCAGCGCAGGGGGAGGTTCTGGGGCTAAACCCGCTTTTTCCCGCCCGGTTTTGGGCGCTTCTCTGCGGGGTTCTTCCCTCCCCAGAATGAGGTGGTGACCCCCCCCCCAGCCCCCCCGCCGGGGGTGCTCCTGCCCCCTCCTTCCCCCGGGCGGAGGCTGCTCGGGAGGACTTTGAATGCTGCGGCTCCCCAGGGGAGTGTCCCCCGCCGCGGGGAGGGGGGGCCCCATCCTCCTGCCCCCCCCTCCTCCTCCTCCTCCTCCTCAGCACCGGCACCACCCGAAGGAGGTCATGTCTGTGATGGGCTCCTCCGGGCGGGGGGGGCCCAGCCTGCGCACCCCCCCGCTACCCGCCGGCTGCCTCACCCAGCTCTACGCTCATGCCAGCGGCCCCGCTCCTCGGGGGGGGGCTCTTTGTGCCACCCCCCAGAGCCCCCAGCTCAGGACCCTGCGCTCGGCTTCGGCGGGACGGCTGCAGGTAAGGAGTCTGCACCCCATCCCCTCCTCGGGCACGGCTTGGGGGGGCTCCGTGCAGGGCTGGGGGACCGCAGCGCACACAGTGCCATCCCCTTCCTGACCCTGAAGCTTCCATTCGGGTCTGCGCCCCTTGGAGGTGTCGCTTTGGGGATGGGAGGTTTGGAATCGGAAGGGGCAGTGAAATGGTTCATAGGCTTCTCCACTTCCCTTTGCCTCTGTGTGCCTGCGGAGCTGGCTCCCGGCTTCCGCTTTTCACCCTTTGGAGGCCTTTTTCCTCCTCTTTCTGGCTTGGCAAACCTCTTCCCACCTTAGCGAGGGAGGCACCGTTCCTGCTCTATGGGGCTGTGACCCCCAGGGTGGAACACGGGGTTTGGGGCTGGGACCCAGAGACATGGTGGGGACAAGGGGTGGTTCAGCGCCACCGCCCAAGCTCGGTTCCTGCTGCGGTTACAGCAGGGCTTGCAATGCCTTTGTTTTTTTGGGGGGAGGGAGAAGGGGTTTGAAGCAATCCTCATCCTCCACGGGGCACCCCAAGGCTTTGAAGCAGGGGGATGTGGGTTGGCATGGGCAAGGGGCCTGCCTGTGTCCCTGTCACCCAGCCCACTGCCTCCAAACAGGGAAACTGAGGCACAAGTGGGGCACTGGGGCAGTGTCCGGTATTGGGGTGCACGGGTGGCTCTGCCCTTCCCATCCCGTCCCATCCCATCCCTCCTCCTGAAGGGTCCCCGCTGGCAGCTGGCATTTAATTCCCACCCACCGCGTCCAGCCCGGGCGCGCATCCAGCCCTCACTGTGAGCCTCTGTTCTCCCAGGTCCTGGGGGGGAGCCCAGACCCCGCTCCCTCCGGCTGAGGGGGTTTTAAGGCTTCATTGATGGACTGATTCCCCCTTTTCCCTGGGCCATGGCCACGGCTGTAGACAGGGGGTGGCTTTGCTCCCCACTTTGTGCCATGGCTGGGGCTGGTTGGGCTCCTGTAAGTCCTGTCCCGGGGGGGCTCTGGAGCCACCTGCCTCCTCTCCACCCTCTTTGTCCATGCGTCCTCTTTGCCCAGCATCTCACATCTGAGCCATGTGGGATGCTGCATCCTGCGCTGTTGGTTAAGGAGACACCTGCCCCTTCCCCGAAAAGCACCCTAAAACCTCAGGGTCCCGTTTCCATGCATCCCTGTGGAGCTGGTTTTGGGCTAAGGGCCTCTTTCGCATCACCATCATAATCACCATCACATAGCCAGGAGATGCTCAGAGTGTTCTGCCCACAACTGTGCCCTGAATGGGGATCTGTGGGGCTCATGTGACACCTGGAGGGCATCCCCCCCACTGCCTTACAAGTGGTGGCCCCATCCCATTCCCTGATGCTGTTGTCCCATTCCCAGCCCCACACCCCATTTATGACACAACCTTTGTGTGCAGATCCCAGGCAAGCATTATAATAAGCGTTTCCTCCCCATTCCCGAGCAGGGTAATTGCTGCCGCTCCCATCTCCCTGCTGGATTTGTGCTGGATAACTGAGCTGGGCCGGCTGGAGGGAGCCCATCACCCTGTGTCTGGCCATGGGGAACAGGGCTGGCTTGTTCCTCATCTCATGTATATTTCCCCTCTGATTTGAGGGTCCTGGAGCGGGTCAGTGTGTTCACCCCCATGAACAATGAGTGTCCTGCAGAGATTTTAGCATGTGCCAACCCCATCCTCACTATTTTCCATGGCCATATGGGGTCCCTGTAGGGGTTGTGGGGTCTTTATAGGGGTTGCAGGGTCTTGGAGGGCTCAACGCTGTGAAGGACCCAGCAATGTCCCTGCCTCCTCCATGCTGGAATAAAGATGTTCAGAGTCCACTGTGGTTTCGGTTTGAGCTGACAGCGCTGAGCAAAGAGCGCCCTGTGGGTGCTGGGCTGCAGTTCTGCTGCGGTGACCCATGGTGATCCCATGCCCTCCGTGATTCCATCAAGGGTGCTCCTGCCTGGGCAGGAGTGGGGGGCCTGGGGGTGCAGGGTTGGGATGGGTGTGAAGGTGGTGGCTGTTGGGTTGCCCTCAGAGGGGCTTTGACAGCCTCCAGCTCTTCTCTGCCAGGGAATGTCTCCAACCATCCGTGCTGGGATGGGGATGGAGATACCGGATGTGTCTTGGAGCGGAGAGTGGTACCCGTGGTGGGGGTACTGCCTTCCTCCCTGGCTCTGCACCAGAGCTCATCCTCCCTCCCCTGCCCACCATGGGGCTGAAACCCCTCAAATCTGGGGGTTCTGCATCCTCCTATCCCTGCTGGCTCTCATCCATCCCAAAGGCTGCACTGGGGGGATCTGATTCAGGGGCCCCTTGTCATGAGCAGCATCCCTGGCACGGTGGCGTGATCCCAGGGTGCCCATCCCTGGGTGCTGCTGTGTTCCCCCCCAGGGGGTGGCACTGGGGGGGGCTGGCACAAAGGCAGGGCCTGTGCAAGCCTGGAGAAGGCAGCGGGTGCTGTTGGCAGCAGGAGCCCCCAGGAGGGACAGGGCTGCTCTGATGCTGGGGCTGGGTATAGCCCCCGGCACTGAGGGCTGTTGGCAGGCAGAGCTGGCGGGGGGCCCATCTTCACCCCCTCCACCCCATTGCCTTCATCCTCCCCCCCCCCCCGTGTCTGAGCCCCTTTTCTCACCCCCAGCATCTTATTGGGGGTTCCCCCCACCTTGGGAAGCAGCACAAGGAGGGGGGTCCCCCCCATGCCCTGGAGTGGGGGGGTCTTGGTCCTTCCCCCCCATCTGCTCTGGATCATCCTGAGCCCTGGCAGGGTGCTGGGAGCCCCTCGCTGTGCCCCACTCAGCTGTCGTGTGCCTAATCCTGCCCGGGGGGGGGGTCTGGCAGCTGGGACACAGGAGAGACCCCCTTGTCCATTGTCCTTTGCTGTGCGTCCTGTCCCCCCCCCACTGAGCTCACCAGGCTCCCCCTGCCCCAATGCATGTGGGGTCCTCTTCCCCCCCCCTTCCTGTGCAGTAGGGATGGGAAACCACCTTTGGTGGCTGCGGTCCTGGGGGGGGTTGTAGGTGGCTGGGGGACACCAGGATTTGCTGTGGTTGTTTCCGTGCCTCAGTTTCCCCACTGGCAATGGGAACGTGGGTGTGTGGAGAAGGAAGGGTTCGGGTGCCAGGAGAAAGGGGGGGGATGCAGGATGCTGCTCCCCCCATCCCAAATCGCTCTGGCAGATGCACGGGGTCTGGTCGGGGGCAGGTGGTTCCCATGCACTCAGTGTTAACCATTGGGGTGCCGGCAGCCAGGGGGAGGGCACAGGGCTGGCGATGGAGGCGAATTCCCTGGGGAAAACCGGCTCCGGGAGAGGGAGGGAGGGACCAGATTCCCACAGGAGCTTGAGCCCAGCCTGGCTCCCTGGAGGGGGCGGAAAACAGCCCCCGGCGCCTCTGCCCCCCCCCGAGGTGCCCAACCCTTCCCCACGCATTGGGGTGCGCTCCCGAGGGAGCCGCAGTCGGAGCCAGCGCCGGGACCATGCGGGATGTGCTTGGGGGGACCCTGTGGGACAGCCCGGCCTGGGAGCAGGTACTGGGGGGGGGGGGGGCTATGGGATGGGGCTATGGGAGCTGCTTGGTGTTCTGTGTGTGTGCCCCAAACCCCCCTGCTCGTATTTAGGGGTCTGGTGTGGGGGGAATTTCCATGTGATTTGGTGACACCCCCCCCTTTTCCCTGGGTCTCTCTGTCCCAGGTGATGCTTTGGGGGTGCCTTGGGGGTGATTTCCAGTTGCTGCTTAGCCCTGGCAAAGGGACAGTGTGTGTGTGAGATACCCCCCCCCCTTGCCATGCCCCACTTCCCCTCCAGCTGAGTGCACATGTGTGGGGCACCCCATAGCAGCTGGGTGCCCTCAGCTGCCTCCAACCACGGCCAGAAATAAGGGAACAAAGGGGGGGGGGGGTGTGATGAAACCCCGCACCCCATCTGCCAGGGTGGGAGGGCAAGGATCCAGCCTTGGAGCTACCACGTTCCCAGGGCTTGTCCCTAAGGAGCTGTGCCAGGAACTGGGAGCAGGGGGAAATCCCCAGTGGCTGCCATGGGGGGAGCCGGGACCCCCCCATCTCCTCCCTCCCTGCTGGGTGCTGTGGGAACCCTTCCCACAATGGGTTTTGCAGCCGGATGAGCCCCTTGCAAGAAACCTCCCTTGGACTCCACCACCTCCGGAGGTCCCTTCCAGCCCAGTCGATTCCCTTCCGTGCTTTCATCCCAGGCTGCGGCACCCAGGGCTCACCCATGCCCCCGGGGGTGGCCGGGGGGGTGCCTGGCTCCATCCCAGTGTGGGCTTTTCTCTCCTGCTCCAGGCCAAGAGGAAGCTAGACCTGGAGGGCCCTGGATTCCGCACGCCCAAAGGGAAGGGCAGGACCTTGGCACAGGTCCCCAGCCCCAGGAGTAAGTGGTGCTGGGGGAGATGGGGCAGGGGGGAGCCTGGAGGGGGACAGAGCTGCTGCCGCATCCCCTTTAGCACCAGCCAAGGGGCTCTTTGGGCCTCTCCAGCTCACTGCCCCTGCACAGTGCTCCCCTGGGGGGGGCTGTGGCTGGGTTATTTCTCTCCCAGGGTTGGGTTGTGCCCCGCTCCCTGTCCCAAATGGGATTTCCCCTCCTTTCCCTGCAGCTCCCAAGTCTCCCGGGGAGAAAACGCGCTACGACACCTCCCTGGGGCTGCTCACCAAGAAGTTCATCCGCCTCCTGCACGAGTCCCCCGACGGCGTCGTGGACCTCAACCGAGCGGCCGAGGTGCTGGGGGTGCAGAAGCGCCGCATCTACGACATCACCAACGTGCTGGAGGGCATCCAGCTCATCCGCAAGAAGTCGAAGAACCACATCCAGTGGATGTAGGCGATGCCGTGGAGGCGGGCGCGGGATGGGATGGGATGGGATGGGATGGGATAAAGGGCGCAGGGGAGGTGGTTTGGGATGCGCCGCCACTCGGTGCTGTCTCTGTCTGCAGGGGGACGGGGATCTTCGAGGACACGGCGGTGATGCTGAAGCAGCAGGCGCTGCGGGGGGAGCTGGCCGAGCTGGCCAGGATGGAAAGGAGCCTGGACCAGGTCCTGCAGGACTGCAACCTGCAGCTCCGGGAGCTGACTGACAACGAAGCCAACCAGAGATATCCTTGCTGGATAGGGGCACAGGGCAGGGGGGACAGCAGGAGGAGCTCCTTGTCCCCCGGGTGGCTTTCCCTGGGCTGGTGGGGGGGTGTTTGGAGGATGCTGCTGGGAGAGGGGATGAGCCATCCTGCTTGCAGCCGGTCCTTTTCCTATAGCCCATCCCTGTCCACGCTGGCCTATGTCACCTACCAGGACCTCCGTGCCATCAGCAGCTTCCAGGAGCAGACGGTGATTGCCGTGAAGGCTCCTCCGGAGACGCAACTGGAGGTGCCGGACTTCAGTGAGGTGTGTGTGGGGCTGGGAGCTGTTCCCCCCGTTGCAGCAGGGTCAGGGCCAGGCTGTGGGTGCATCTGCACCATAGAACCAAAGAACCATGGAATGGTTCAGGTTGGAAGGGGTCTTAAAGCTCATCCAGTGCCATGGGTAGGGACGCCTTCCACTAGAGCAGGTTGCTCCAAGCTCCATCCAACCTGGCCTTGAACACTGCCAGGGATGGGGCATTTACAGCTTCCTTAGGCAACCCATTCCAGTGACTCAGCACCCTCACAGTAAGGAACTTCTTATCTCCAACCTGAAGTGCCCCTGTTTCAGTCTGAACCCATCACCCCTTGTCCTATCACTCTAGACCCTGATGAAGAGCCCCTTTCCAGCATCCTTGTAGCCCCTTCAGACACTGGAAGCTGCTCTGAGGTCTCCACGCAGCTTCTCTTCTTCAGGCTGAACAGCCCCAGTGTTCTCAGCCTGGCTCCTATGGGAGCTGCTCCAGCCCCTGAGCATCCTCGTGGCCTCCTCTGGACTTGCTCCAACAGCTCCATGTATCTGGGGCATCCCAAGGGTGCAGCCCAGCATGGGCCTGGGTGGTTTTGGGGTGTCTCCATGGGGCTGTGTGACCCTGGGCTGGTCATTCAGGGGTTGCAGCGCTCTGCCTGGACCCCCTGCATAGGTTGGGGCAGTGGGGTGGGATATGGGTGCCCTTCTGAGCCTTGCTCTGCCCCTCCAGGGTAACTTCCAGCTCCACCTGAAGAGCACCACCAGCCCCATTGAGGTGTACCTCTGCCCAGAGGAGATCCAGGAGGAGAGCCCCACCAAGGACCGCAGCATCCCCTCCACTGCCGCCTCCCCATGGCACCACAGCAACCCCCTTTCCCTGCCAAACAGCCCTGGGCCAGCCCCACCACCCCCCACCTCCATTCCTCCGAGCTGGGGGGGGGCAGGAACCCCCTCCTCACCCCCATCTCTGCCTCTCTGTGTGCCGGGGGGGCCCAGCTCGCTGCTGGAGGTGGAAGCTGGGCTCCTGGGCTCACCCCATCACCTCCTGCAGCAGACTGAGGACCAGCTGCCCTGCGCCTCCTCCACCTTGGACTCGGGACCCTTTGTCACCTTCTCGCCCCCCCTGGGGCAGGACGATTACCTCTGGGGGCTGGAGGGCGAGGGCGTCAGTGACCTCTTCGAGGCGTATGACCTGGGGGAGCTGCTGAAGCACTGAGCATGGGGGACATCCCTGCTGCCTCGCTCGTGCACTGAGCGCGCAGGGTCTCTGCGGGGCGGCTGGGCAGCGTGGGGTGGGTTGGGGCCATGAGGGTGGTGATGGGGCGCTCACGGTGGCCACCCTGGGTGGGTTCGCCCCGTGTTGGTCACCTCAGGGCTGTGGTTGTCACCTCCAGGGATGTGGGAAGGACGCAGTCAGGTCCCATGGGGTGCTGGTGTTGATGCTCCCCACTATAAGCTCCCACCGCTGTGGGTGCATGGGGTGGGTTAGGGTGGTAGAGAAACCCCTGTCCAGAATGAGCTGCCTGGGGGGGGGTGGTGGGGTGTTCATGGTCTGGGGCCACTCCCCACTTAGCCTGGTTCTTTGGAATCATCATGGCTCATTCTGAGCTGTTTCCCACTCCATGGCTGGAAAACCCCTACTAAACCCCATGGAGAGGGGCTTGGGAAGCAGCGCGGGATGAGCCCCTGGACGTGGAGCAGGATATGACTTGGAGTTGTGCTGTTGTAAGATAGATGTACTTATTGCACTGTATTTATATGCCCCCCCCTTGGCACGGCACTGGTGGGGTTGGTTTGCAAGTGAGTGTACTGAAGTTTTCCTTCCTTTGGGTTGGTTCTGCTGTGGGTTGGCTCTCGGGTGCTGTGGGTGAGTGTGTTTTTGGCATGGGAAAATCTGTGGCATTTGATGTTTTCTGCCCGGGAGGGGATGAAATGAAATAAAAGAGACCTTTGGAGTTAGAAGGGGCTGTTTTAAGCAGCAAAATGCTGGAGGAGGGAGGTGTTGGGCTGGTTTTGCTCCTGGTTTTGGTGTAAAAAAAGCCTGTTTGGGGGGCTTTTTAACTGGCCAGCCTGCTCTGGAGGAGCTGGTGGAGATGAGGTTGAGGTGAAGCTGTGGCTGGAGTGAGGGAAACGCGTCTGACCTGCTGTGGGTCAGTGATTTCCAGCCCAAATCTGGTTGGGATGAGCCTTTGCCTGAGCTTGAGCCCCTTGAACCAGGAGCGTGGGAAAGGCCCCAGGGTTTGGGATGGGATGGGATGGGCTTGTACACCGGGTTTGAGGGCTGGTTGGGTGGCTGCGTTGCAACCCAATCTCGGTGTGGCTGTGCCTATGGAGGGTCCTTCCCCATGGGGCTGCACTGGGTTGCCAGCTCCTGCCCAGTCACGTTGTGACCGGGTGATGCCGGTGGTACCCAGCACTGGCTGGGGATGCAGTGTTGGTCAGGGTACCCAGTGATGTCCGAGGTACCTGGTGACGGCCAGTGGTACCCAGTGATGATCAGGGTATCCAGTGGTGCCTGACAGTACCCAGTGACATCTGGTGATAGCCGGTGGTACTTGGGGTCATCAGGTGGGGCAGAGGAAGACAAGGAGGAGGAGGGAGAAGAGGCGCAGGAGAGCCCCGAGCCAGGTAAGCCGGGTGATGGGCACAAAACGCTCTATCCACGGCACACATCTCCGTGTCCCTGCGCGGGGGGGGGGGGATGTCCCATGGCCATGTCGCTCCCCCCCCGCAGTCCCCAGGCTGGCCAGGAGGTGGCAGGGCCACCCCAGCAAAGGGGGTGTCCCCGGCCCCGCGGCACCCCCGTGTCCCCCAGGGGAGGCTCTGGGGGTCCCTGTCTTTTGGGGGGGCGTCTTACCCATGGGACCAAACCTGACCCCCGTAGCGCAGGTGTGGCCTGACCAGTGCTGGCTCTATAGGACAGTGACATCTCTGTCTGCTGGTGATGGCCTCGGTGAAGTCCTCAGCATCCTGTTGCCTTTCTTTGCCGCAGTTCCTACTCAGCTTGCGCCCACCAGGACCCGCAGGTCCCCCTGCACAGAGCTGGTGCCAGCCTGTGCTGTGCTCTTGGCTTGCATTTTCCGGCGTGCAAGACCTGACACTTGTGCTTGTTGAACTCACAGACTCACAGAATGGTTTGGGTTGGAAGGGACCTTAAAGCTCCTCCAGCCCCAACCCCTGCCACGGGCAGGGACCCCTTCCTCTAGAGCAGCTTGCTCCAAGCCCCTGTGTCCAACCTGGCCTTGAACACTGCCAGGGATGGGGCAGCCACAGCTTCTCTGGGCACCCTGTGCCAGCGCCTCAGCACCCTCACAGGGAAGCGCTTCTGCCTAAGAGCTCAGCTCAGTCTCCCCTCGGGCAGGTTAAAGCCATTTCCTTTGGCCTGTCCCTGCATCCCTTGTCCCAAGCCCCTCTCCAGGTTTCCTGCAGCCCCTTCAGGCACTGGAGCTGCTCTGAGGTCTCCCCTTCAGGAGCCTTCTCTTCTCCAGGCTGAACCCCTCAGCCCATCCCCCCCCTCCCCCCTCTCCATCCCTCCCCCCCAGCCCTCCCCCCCCAGCCCTCCCCCCCCCTCCCCGAAGTTTTGCGGGATGCGATCCCCGCCGGGTCCCTTCCCCTTTAACGGCCGGGCGGGGCTCCCGCATGACGCGGGGTGGGGGGGGCGGGCGCAGCTCCCGGGGCCGGGCACGGGGCGCTGAGCGGGGCCTCGCCGGCACCCCCGGGGCGCTCCGCACGGAGCCCCCCCAGCCCCGCTCCGTCCCGTCCCGTCCCGTCCCGCACCGCCCCGCACCGCCCCGCACCGCAATGCCCGAGCAGCTCAGCGTGGCCGAGTTCCTGGCGGTGACCGGCGAGGACCTGAGCTCCCCGGCCGCGGCCGCCTTCGCCCCCAAGATGCACAAGTGCCGGGGGGCGGTGGGGGCTCTGGAAGAGGTGAGTGGGGTTATGGGGGGGTCCCCACCTCAGCACAGCCCCGCAGCACCGGTCCCGCACCCGCGGGGCTCCTTCATTCCTTGGGCTTGGGTTTATCAGGGTCCCTTCAGCCCGAGACCCCCCCTGTTCGACTGGTGGGAACCCTGAAGGGGGTGTTTTGGGCACCCTGAAGTCGGTGTTTAGGGCACCCTAAAGTGTGTGACTTGGGTACCCTAAAATGGGTGTTTGGGGCACACTAATGTGTGTGTTTTGGGTACCCTAAAGTGTGTGTTTTGGGCACCCTAAAGTCGGTGTTTTGGGCACACTAATGTGTGTGTTTTGGGTACCCTAAAATGAGTGTTTTGGGCACGCTAAAATCGGTGTTTTGGCCACCCTAAAGTAAGTGTTTGGGACCCTCGGGCTGGTTGCATCCCCCCAGCAGCCCCAGCGGGTGCTTTTCTGAGTCCAAAGGCTGCAGAAACGGGTAAAACTCTTCTTTCAACCTCCTGTAAAGGGTTAATTTCCAGCTCTGGGTCCCCCTCTGCACCCCCAGAGCATCCCCTGCCCAGTTCAGGGCATCCCCTCCTGGGGCCAGGGCTTCTCCCTGGGGCTGGGCAGAGCATCAGCCCCATGGCTCTCATCCACTCTGGAGGTCCTGGAGCCAGCCCTGATGCGCTGCTGTGTCCATGGGGTCCCCCCCCCATGCTATTAAAGCCATTTTCAATCCCCCCTGCCCCATAACGCCCGGCTGCATTTGCAGGCAGGGAGGAGGTGGTGGGGTTGCCTTCGTCCCCCTTCTCCTGCCTGGAATAAAGGCAGTTTCCAGCTGGTCCCGTGGCTTTTGCCAACTCCTCTTAGCGCAGGAATGGCTTTGAAGGGGAGCCAGGGCTGGTGGGGAGTGTGGGGCCCCAGGTGCCGGGATCCCCGGGGGCAGCGGGATGGGCGTCCCAAGGCCTGGAAGACTGGGGATGCACCATGGAGCATCCTGGTCCCTGCCAGCATGTGTTGGATCTTCCTCTCAGCCAGGAATGGGGAAGGCAGCTCTAGCCAGGAGGAAGCAGCAGGGATTTCACTTGGTTGCTCCAGAGGTGAAGGGGGTATAGGGATGGGGGCAGGAGCAGAGGCGTCCCCCTGGAATGGCAGGGATCTCTGTGGGGTTTGCTCAGCAGAGCCCCCCTCCCACTGGAGGTTGTGGGAACTCTTGTGGGGGCCAAAGCTCTGCCAGGCCTTTGGTGTCCTGATGCTCCAGCAGGAGGGGAAGTGGGAAATCCAAGCAAAGGAATCCCGGCCCCATGCCATCATCTGCTGCGTCCTGCTCCCAGCCCCATAGAGCTGTCAGCCTGGTCCCTGGCACCCACAGTGCCTCCTTCACCAGGCAGCACCAGCCGGCAGCGAGGGGGGGAGGAAGGCAAAAGAATGGCCCCATTGAGCATCCCAGTGGGGCTGTGTTGCAAGTGTGGATCCGTCCCTTCCTCCATCCCCGCTGGGAATCCCTCATGCTTCCATCCTGCCATGCTGATGTCCTCAGCTTCTCCAGAGCAGGAGCCCTCATCCCTGGCTGGGTCTGGGGGTGACGGGTGCTGTGGGAGGGTTGTCCTGGTCCTGCTGAAGCCCGTATCCTCAGCATCCATCTCAGCACATCAGGGATGCCAGCGATGCCCAGAGCAGTGCAGTGATTTCCTCTGTATTTCCCACCCCAGTGCCGGGCTCTGCCTGCCCTGTCCCCACTGCTTGACTCATGGACCCCTTCCTGAAAGCCACTATGTCCTTCCCCAGAGCGTCCTTAATCCCTGCTCTGCACCGGCCCCATTCAGCCTCCTGCTACACTGTCCTGGACACTCGGAGCAGCTTCTTCCCCCCACTTGCACAGTGATGCATCCAGAACTGCCTCAGTTTCCCCTTCCTGAGGCTACGCCAGGTTTCCAAACCTAGCCCTGGCTTCCCTCCCAAGTCACGGGATGCTCCAGAGAGCCTGGTCTGCCTGGATTTGGGAGGCGTTGGGGCACTCCAGTATCCTCCCCATTGCAGATGCATCGCGTTGTAGATGATCCTGCCTCAGCTCCAGTCCCCTCCCAGCCGGCTCATCCCGGCCAAAGCTCCTCTTGCAGCATCCCATCCAACCAGGAGGGCCTTGGAGAGCGGCTCCAGGGCCAGGCTGACCCCGCTGTCAGGAAATCGGCCTTGACATCAGCCACAAAGCCTTCAGCCTTGAGAGCAGGAGCAAGAGAAATCTCTTTATTGCAGCTCCTCCGTGGTTTCATCCCTGCCCTTCTTCATGTTCACGCCCTCTAAATATTTCCAGCCTGTTATCATGCCTCTGGTACCTGCAGCCAAGACGCCC